ATTTGTTAAAGGAGAGATTCCTTTTTCCATAGAGTCCGTCTTCTAGCTGCTGTTCAAGTATTCTGGACTGTAGAACTTTACTCTGTTTGTCTTCTAGTGCTTGTTTAGGAATTCTGGACAGGTTCTTCAATTCTTAGAGGTTCAGACTTTGTCTTCGAGTCATTTGTTCTTGAATCAGCATAATTATCTTCAATCTAGCCGTTGAAAATCAAGAGATTGATTTTTCCTTACCAACGGGTAGAATTTCTTCATTCAAGACTTAGATAATCTTCTAAGTCTTTTCTCACTTGTCCGCTTTTTGAGAATTCCGGTCTTCCTTGAGGCATCCGGTTCTTCGCTGACAAATCTGGAGGAGTCATTCTCAGACTTCCGGGTGAGAAAGAGATCCGCGCTTGTCTTCCGATTTGGGTGACTTAGCCTTCAGCGGGTTGTAGCGAGACATCCGGTTCTTATGTAGTCTTCCGGATCAGAGGATTTTCATCTGCTTGAGAAATCCTTACTTGTCTCTAGCATTTCCGATTAAGATATCCAATTTCCATATCACTGAATTTGATTAAGTCTTCAGGTATCAAAACACTTAAAGAAATATCATAACCTTATTGGAAATCTCAAGAACTTGGTTTTAACAATATTTCTAAAAAGAAAAATTACATTGAATATTAGGGGAGACCTAAAGTCCCTATTACATTCTAAATACATCATCATCAAAATCTATGATATTTTTCCCAACACCCTCCGATCCTTTGAATCCAACAACTCTACTTCATTCTTATTTCTTTCACCTAGCACCATTCTCACAAGAACCGGCCTATATATATGTTCTTTGGTTCTTTTCCACGACCAGTCCTCCGTCACTCTTACTGTTATCTACTTGTTCAATGTAGGGTTGAATCGGTAATTTCTCACACCCGTCTATCAATTAAATTATCCCTCCATGTCCTTAGCTATCCCTCATAACCCTAATCTCAGACTTTGTCTTTATCGCCAAATTGTAGAGCCCGAAAGTTACTGTCTTTGTCGCTTATGTCAATCTGAATGTTGCACCCTAACCATGCAAACAAAGGTATATATGAGGAGGGCTTGTGACTTGTGAGGTGTTTAATTTGGAGGTGGAGATAGAAAATTACTTTTTTTTCAATACCGTATTTATACAATTACATAAATAACGAAGAACTTAAGACAACGAGACTATTTCTGTAACAACAACCACAGAGCCGTCACCATTGTGGATTTGTGGCTTTTCAATGCCAATGAAATAAGAACTCGGCGCTTTAGAGATTTATTGTGGATTATCCAAGAAAGACGATCTCAATCCCTAATCTCACCAAATCTAATCAGAGTATAGTCGATGAAGAAGAAGAAGAGCAACAATGGTTTTGAGTTCTGCGAGGTCTGCAAGCTGAACCACAACCAAGGCAAGAAGCACAAATATATCCCCAACCACAAGAAGTCGCTGGAGGCGGTCCTCACTCGGTTTCGATCTAAACTCGTCGACCTCCGCTTCTTCCTGAAGAACCCTACCCCTCTCCGCCCTGACCAGGCCTCTCCCAATCGGCTCTGGTGCATCTTCTGCCAACTTGATATTCTTGAGCTCCACAGCTTCCTCACCGGGTACACTACAAATAAGCTCATATATCGAGTTGGCACAGATAATATGTTCTCGAAGTATTATCCATTCTCTTTTTGTTGTGAAAACTATAATATAGTGAAAATGCAATTGCGCATCTGGCTAGCGAGGATCATTTGAAGAAATTGAAAGGATTCCTATGGAAATACGGGGGTGGAATGGACAAACTCGATTTTTTCCGGATTACAGAGGTTGATTTTGCTAAGGTGATTTTTCTTTTTCTTTTTTTCTTCTTGTTGTTGATTATAGACTAAAATCTACCATTGGTCTTTCAACTTTGTTAGCTTTGCATGATTGGTCCTTCGAGTTTCAAAAGTTCATAAATAGTCCTTCAAGTATTCAATAACCTCCAAATTCAGTCCTTTAAGTTTCAAGTGTACATAAGTAGTCATCAACCCTCCAAATGCATTCCTTTAAAAGCTAAACGGAGTACTAGGACCAGTCGTGCACACATATGTAAATGAGTACAGTTTTGTGGGTTTATCTTTTCTTTTCCAGCTATTTGCATTAGTATTGTCCTATTCCATCAAATGTGCAAAGCTGGAGGACATAATTTGATTATTAAGCATCTGACCCTTGGAAAAGTACATTTGTGTGGTTGAAAAGTTCCTTTGTTCTGCTAAATGCTTGCTGTGATATATAGTGAAGCAATTTGTAAATTTTCCGCACTCGTCTTGGCCCAACATTGTAACCCTTTATAGACATATTTTACTGTGACTCTCTATAGCCATGATTGGACCATGTTTAACCTCCCAACCCCCCCCCCCTCCCCCCCAAAATAAGAAAAAAGTAAAAAATAAGAAAAAAGAAAACCAAACAGAAGATCTACCTGCTACCTCACCATTTTTTTGTTTGTTGAGGGTTCTGTAGAATTTCAGTTTGCAATTTTTATTTCTTGTTTTTTTATAGGTTTCATATATTTTTGTTTGCAGTGGAGAAAAGAGTGCATGACATCAAAGAATGTGGTTGCTAGCGAAGAATCTTACGGACTATTACTTGGACCATCAAATGATATCCATAATGAATTGAACTCTGGCTATGTAAATTGTGTTGCAATAGATAATATGCATGCTGATAATATTAACTTTTCAAATTGTGTTGTGCCTTTACAAAATCATACTTATGAGAGATCTCAGATATACGATTCAGAGTTACCAATCACATGTGGTGGTAACATGGGCTCAGAAGGCAAGGCCAATTCGTCATGCGTCATTAATTCATCTAGTTAGTGCCTTGTAACTATTCAACTCTGTTCTTTTCCAATCATTATTGCGCAGGCTGTAGTAAGCTGGATCAAAATGATCATAATAATTTTGTTTTACCTATACCTGATGCAGAGTATGAGGTTACCAAACGATCAACACCATTGTTTCCAACTGCAAACTTATCTTCTCATCCTCCCTTCAATGGATCTGTAAGCTGTCAAATTCATTTCTTCTTTCTTTTCCTTGTCTCCATTTCAGTTAAAAGGGATAGGTTCCAAGTTTAGTATATATGATGGTTACATTGTTTCTTAATTTATATGCTTTCTCTTTCTCTCTTTGTGTTTATTGGACTTTTATTTAATTCTATCCATGCAGATTGTGTACCACTGAAGCATGTAATTGTATTGTATCACACGTAATTGTTTGCTACGTTGCTTTGCTACTTGTCTGTCAAGGATATATATATATATATATATATATATATATATATATATATAAAATACTTCCTCCGTCCCAAAATATACTTTACACTTTATTTTTTTGTCCGTCCTAAAATAAACTTTGCACTTTAAATTTTTTAGGAAAGGAAAATGTGGCTCACAAGATTTCTCTCTCGCCAACAAATTCCAATCATACACTTATCACTTTCAGTACTTTTCTTTAATTCTGTTAACTCAAACCATCAATTTAATTATGAGACGGATGGAGTTTCTGTTATCTTCCCTTCCAATCGTATCTTTTTTTGTTGAGTAAGGCAGTAAGCTTGAAGCTGATCATTACGATGTTCAACGTGCTTGTGGGCAGGAAATGTGCCGGTTTGTAGTTGATACTTTAGTATGCTCGTGTTTTTTATGGGCAGAGAGGTTAGCCCTTTTTAAGCTAGATGTTAAAATAAATGTGTTCCTTAGTCAATAGGGTGACAGAAGTATTGGAATGTCAATGATATCATGTCCTGTAGGTTTAGGAACGAGCTTAACTTTGAATTTGTAAGGGGAATATCTTGTGGCAAGATATCTACACAAGAAGCCTTGGATCTGACAGTTGAAGGTATTAAAATTTAAAAGTACTGTATAACTGAAAATTTGAAGTTTTTAGTGAACACAATGTTTGTCTGATAGATAGTGAAACGAATTACGTTTCAGTTAATTTAACAAAACTATATTTTGGAGTACATCTGAACCGAAGTTGTGGCTCAACTAACAACTTTAGTAGAAAGTTTCCATAACATCTCATTTAGCCATTCACATTCACAAAGAGCACAAGTGCAGAGCATTTCCATGCACAAATGCACCATATGTTAACTAAATCCAAATCTGTAAGTGTGCCAAATGAGCTACTCCCTCCGTCCGGAAATAATCTTCCCATTTCCCCTTTTCTCCCGTCCGGAAATAATCTTCCCATTTCTAATTTTAACCACAATTCTTCCAAAAATACCCTTATCATTCAATTTTATTCTCTCTCAAACTCTCCCTAGATCTACCCTCCCCGTCCCCCACCCTTTTCTCTCTTCTCAATTTCTCTCTTTCTTTCTTTCTTTTTCTTCTTCGTTCTCTTTCTCTTTCTCTCTTCCTCTTCCCCAGTTCATTTCCTCTTCTCTTCTTTTCCCCCCTCTGTTTTTCTTCTTCTTTCTCTCTTCCTCTTCCCTTGTCCATCTCCTCTTCTCTTCCCCCCTCTGTTTTTCTTCTTCTTTTTCTCCCCCTTCTTATATCTCTTCCATCTTCTAGATCTGAGCATAGCGGCGGCGATTGTGACAGTGATGGCGGCGGCGATTGGGGCGGTGGTGATGTGAGTCTAGATCTGCATTTCTTCGTCCTTTTCTTCTTCATCTTCTTTTAGATCTACACCGCGGTGGTGGGGTAGGTGGGTCTGGAGGTGAACGTGGGGCTGTCACCGATGGTGAGGCTGCCGGCGGTAGTGGAGTGGCGGCGATGGTGAGGAGAAATGAGATGTGGTGTGACTGGCGGCAAAGGAGGGGCTAGGGTGACGGTTGGGCTGGGGCTGGTAAGGAAGGAGAGGGAGGGTATTTTAGTAAAATTACACTTAAAGTCAACCCTTCAAAAAAATGAAGAAAAGTCCAAATGGGAAGATTTTTTCCGGACGGAGGGAGTATGTTACATCAATCTTGGTATGATTGAGTGCAAATATGCCTTTTTATTCTCCTTGTACTATTTTGTAAGATCGTTTTTTAGTATGTACCAAAATAATGCTCACTTTCCTAATTTAAACACCACTAATATTTTTTGTTTTTGTAATTTTCTCTTTTGCCTATCCTTTTGGTTTCAACTTTTTTTTTTTGAGCGGAGAAATGTTTCTCTTCTTTCAAAAGGGAAAACTTGTAAATAAGCATAGACTAGCATCACCTGTATTTTCTTAAGTGGCGAGTCAAGAACAAATTTATCTTACATCGTGGGACATATGGAGTACAAGAAAGAAAACCTATTTGTTTTTTCCCTAGATGCTCAAACATATGGGATAACTGTTGGAGTAACATATAGAACTTACTACCATTGATAGGCCTTGTATTAATTTGGGAAATATATAAACCACAAAGCCAAAAATATAATCACCTTGGGAATACCTACTTTTTATATTCATCCGAATGATGCTTATTGTCTTCAAGAGAATTGATATTGTAGGTGCTGGTGTAGTCTATAGAAAATTGAACAAGTCTAATTTTCAATTCTCTTAGCTCTTACAGACTAGTCCCTACCACATAGTATTTCTGATTTTTTTTCTTTTCAAACTTTGTCATGGTTGCATTCACATTAGAAAATTCAATGTCTTTACTTGTGGTCATAACAGGTACCCCTATATGAGAAAACTGCCAAACGGGAAACCACTTTAGGTAAAAAAAGAAAAGCCATCCCGCTCAATTCTTTTTGCATTCATCTTTCTTTTATTTCTTGCGTTCCTTAGATTGTATCTGCATTCCCTTTTAGTACGTTGGCTATGCTCGCAAATGCTGTCTACTTTTCTATACATATTGTATATAATAGCAATGCAATCATCCTAATAGAAGTTAAAAAAGAACAGTCTAAAAGTGATCTACATTATACAGAAAAAGAGATTGCTCGCATTTGGGATGAATTTTAATTAATTAATAAATAAATGTGCACACATTTTCACCATTCCCCTTAAAACATGTTTCTACATTACACCGGAGAACTTTTTTGTGAATGATGTTTTATATGAATGTAGATATGCTTGAAGTAAATCCACCAAAATTTATCCTGACATGTTTTGACCCAAGACCTGACCCACCAATAGTGAATTTTGAACAAGGATTTTGTGACCCGAATAGTCGAATACGAAAGTGATCAAATACAAAATGACTGGCTAAAATGTTCATACCTGACTGAACCCAAACCAGATCAGACCTGAACGTAGACTTGATCCAAGACCAGACCAGGCCTGAGCTGAACTACCCATTGAGGTAAGATTTTTCCGAATGTACTATGATATGAAGTATAATGTGATAAAAACAATGTTATCTTCTTTTTTTCTTCTTGCACTGTTTTAGTGTAAACTACTCCGTATTATTTTCCTAGCATTTTAAAAAATATTTTCACCCATACATGCATGTGCTCGCGCGCACACCTAAAGATGCATTTTCTGCATAATAATTTAGTATTAAGCTCAAAAACCTTATAATAATTGCAAACAAAAACCTTATTATAGTTTTATAATAGGTTAGGTTAGTACTCCATCCGATCCATATTTAAGTTTCCACTTTCTTTTGTGGACGTCCCAGAATAAAAGTTTCATTCTTTTTAAGGAATGAATTGTTTAGTTCATATTATTGTGTGCATTAAATCATACTCTCTCTGCCTAAATATCAACCATGGAATATATCTTTTCTTCAACTCCAAAGTAAATGAGAACTGTAGTATGGACCAAAGAGAGTATGATCTAATAATTTATTACATTGAATTATGTATAACTTAAGTGCTAATATACATTTAAGTAAATATCCCTACTTGTTACCTAAAGACGAGTCATGAACAAGCATCTCCTGACCCAAACCCAAAACGACCTCCAAAATGACCCAAACATGAAGTACCAAATTCAAATCCAACCCTACCAATTTGTCTTACACCTCTAGCTTGGGGATTAGATGCCCTTGAATCTTATATCCACACACCAATTGCTGCTGTCTGGCACAAGACCTTTTGATGTGTAGACGTTCTGCTCTTTTTGTGTATGGATTATTTATCCACATTCCTCTTTTATATTAAAAAAATCCAGAAATTTCTACATCAGTGCAAGAAGACATCATAGGGAATGTTCATTCTGGTGCGCCTCCTCCTTGGCTAAATGTTATTCAACAAAATCAACCAGATTTTGTGTCAAAGTCTGGTGAAAATTTCCTTCACTCAGTATATCAAAAGAGGAAATCCTCTAAACTAAACCCAAATCGGGTTGGTGCTGCTTGGGCTGAAAGAAGAAAACTTGAGATGGAGTTGGAGAAGAAAGGAGAAGTTGTAATGAACAATGCTGATGCAAAATGGCTCCCCAATTTCGGGAGAGTTTGGCAATCGGGTAGTAGGAAGGAATCAAGAAAGGAATTTCAGATGGAAAACAAGCCGTCTGGGATATTAGAAAGCCAATCTCAGAGTGTAATTCAACTACAACCTTATATCAGCAAACGAATGGTAAGTAAGCTTTCTGTCTCTCTATACCTCACAACCATATCTTGATATTTGTGAATTATCAATTATAAGTTTTTGGATACTCTCGTAATGTGATTTCAATGCATTACATTTAGTGATAATTCAAAGTACAGTATAAACGAATGAATGAATATAAGAGTTTTCTTTAATAATAAATGACGACATGTTTGTGAACTGGAATTTGGATTTCAAATCTGGATTTTGCTCAAATTCCATTTTTGGGAAATCTTAAAAATTTTTATTTGATGCAATTTCCTTTATGGCGTGTTTGGGAATTTGGATTTGGATTTCAAATCCGGATTTGGCTCAAATTTCTTGTTTGGAAAACTTAAAAAAATTGGATTTGAGTCAAATTCCTCTAGTTCATAACAAAACTCCAATTTGAAATCCATAATCATCCCCTTGTCATTTGAAATTCAAGAATTCAAATTTTGGAATTGAAATGCATGAATTGAAATGAAATGCTAGTTCCCAAACACTACCTTAATTCATTACAAAACTCAATTGCAAATCCATATGCGGTCATTTGAAATTCAAGAATTCAAGTTTTAAAATTGAAATGCAAGGATTGAAATAAAATGCTAGTTCCCAAACACTACCTAACAGTTTTCTTTGTTTTAAATGTCAGACATCATGTAGTGGTTTGAGTAGGGCAAATAGCATTTTTCATCTGGTTGTAAGTTTATATAGTTGACTATTTACTTTGCTTGGTCATACCATTTCCCTTACTAGTACTCTGAAAATTGGAATGGCAATATTTCAGCGCAAGGATTTGGGGGATTTCACACTTGAGCAGCCTTGCAGTTCTGAGTAAAAGCATCCATATCAAATGGTAACTTGGCTAGGAAACGAATACATGTTTGAGTCTATATCAAATGGTACTTGGCTAAAAGCATTTATGTATATAGGCTAGGACTAAATGATGTGGTACTTGGCTAGGAGACGAATACATGTTTGAATATTTTTTATAGCTCTTCTGCCCAATACCGTCTTGACTGTATTACGGGTTTCTCCGAGTTGGACATCTTTAAATTTTGTTCAGTGCCATTTATCTCTCTTTCCACATTCCCATGGTTGAACAAAAAATGCATGCGGTGTGCTCTCACAATTCTTAGGGTTATAAATGGATAACCGAAAATTCGATTACCATTTGCATCTATATTCGTTTATACGGAAAATATCCGCATCCGCTAAAAATAATTATTATCCGTATCTGATTAAGGATATTCGATTGGTAAATGAATACGGATTTGGTAATCATACATCTGATTCGTTTATAATCCGCTCAGCATAGACATACATCTGTTTAAGTAACTGTTTATCCGTATATCCGATCCGTAATATATAATTTTTCCTAATTTTTGGTTATTATATTTTGTTTTTCTATTGACATCTCAAAGTATAAGACATTTTTATATGCAAAATATATGTGTAGACACATAAAAATATGTGTGTATGTGTATTATGTATATCTTTTTATCATATGAAGTTGTCCTAAAATATTATAAATTATAAAAAATAAGAAAAAATTACTTCGTAACAAATTACAATTGAATAAATAATATCTTGACTTTAATTTAATTGGAAATTAAAGTATTTTTAATTTAACTTAAAACATTGGAAACGGATGCGGATATATCCGATATCTGACGGATGCGGATATGGTTTTGATTTTTAGTTTCCGTCAAGATCCATATTTGAATTCGATATCCGATAAAAATAAACGGATACGAATCTGGTAATGGCACATCCGATTCAATTAACACATTTTCTC